GAGCGTCAGATCCAGAAGGTAGTGAACTCCACTAGCAGCAGATGGCGCTGCACAGAGTCACGCGCAAGACCGCGCAAACCATGAGTTACCGCGATGTTATGCAAGTGTTCCCGAACACGCACCAGCCAGAACGGCGCCCCCCTGCGCGCAGAACGCATTCACTCTGCAGCAGGTAGCACATGTCCCACTACAGCTCCAACGACGGCTTCTAGATATCAGTCGTATGGCTCCTAGTAAAGTTCCCATACGTAGCCAGTCGTCAAGCTCTGACAGCAGCTCATACTGCGACCAATCGTACGGCTCTTGCTACAGATCCTACTACAGCCTCCTCACTTCAGCTCCTAGTAGCGGTCCTACTTTGTCTGCCAGTGCAGCCTTTAGTACAGCCCCCCGCATCAGTCCTTACGACAGCTCCTAATGCATATCCCGATGGACACCGTAGTAAACTCCCAGTGTTGTGCCACTACAGCTGCTAGTTTAGACTGTGTTTCAACCAGTAGTAGTTCAAAACCCGTTTAACAAAAACGATGACCCCCCCCGGATCCCGATTGCCATTAAGTCGCATCCGAATACTTTTTTGGTCCCCTTGGACAAAAATCCATGGATGCCGATCGATGCCACTTGTATGTTTCTCGGTACCAGGGAGAATGCGGATGTAACATTGTAGCTTGGTGTAGCCCCTTATGTCTAGCCTGGAGGGCGCGCCGGCCCTCGTTGTAACCTGGCGTAGCCCGCTTGCGTGGCCCAGAGGGGGGACGGTCTTCATCGTATCCTGGTGTAGCCCCGCAAATTTGGCCCAGAGGGCGGTGCGACCGTCGCTCTAACCTGGTGTAGCCTTGGTGCGGCCTCGGACTGAGCGGCTTGCTGAGGGCCTTTCTGGCCTGGAGGGCGATCCAGCCTTCGTCGTAACCTGGTCTAGCCCCTCTCTTGTCCTGTTGCATAATCTTTTCATCACGTGTCGCCGGTCTGAGGAAGCCATCTTGAGCCAACTTGGACCATATTGCGCCATCTTGGAGGCCATCTTAAAGCACTTGTGGCCCTCTCGGCACCAGATGGCGTGCGCAAGGGATGGTCCCCAAGTGCGGTCTCTTTCCACGCCAGGCTGGGGCGTGTCAGGTGTGGCTTGTTCGCAACCCAGAACAGTGTGCGCGGTGCGCAGGGAGTGGTCCCTGAGCACAGTCTCTATCCACGCTGGGGTCGCAGGGCGTGGCAGGCGTGGCCTGACGCCAAGATGGTGTGCGCAGGAATCTGCCCCTGCACGCAGGGCGCCAGGGCGGTCGCGGGGACATCCCCAGCGATCCAGTTTGCCCCGCCTCCCTTTCGTTTTCTATAGGCGCGCTACAGCGCTGGGGAAAACTAGTTTTAAATTTGTCTCCCCAACACAATATTAAAACAATGTTTAAACATCACACCCCCGCATCTGTCACGATGGCTCATACCGCAGACCTGGATACAGTCCCGCCTGCAGTGTTTACCAATGCTATATTAGTTTCTGTGGCTGCATGTAGAACATTCCCTCTACAGCTCATACGACAGCTCCATGACAGCTCTCACTACAGGTCCTACCACACCTCTTGAAACTGATCCTTGTACAACTCTTACTATCACGCCTGCACAGCCTCCCACGACATAGAGCCAGCAGTACAATTTCCCAACATGTTCCCAAGAAGTCGTGCTAAAGGTCTTGTTGCAGACTTTTCTGCGCAGGCCACCGCATATCTCGAGAAGTTACCGCTGCAATTACCCGTACAGCCAATAATGCAGTTGTCGCGTGTGTTCCTACCGCAATTCCCTCTACAATCCCAGCTACAACCGGTAGCGCAGATCCCAGCGCAACCTTCAACGCATTGGACACTCAGGCCGCTTGCAGCCAGTGGTGTAGCTCGCACTACAGCTCCTTCAACAACGCATACCGGAAATATAAAACACTTCCCATTGACAGTTGTCACAACCAGTAATACAGTTCCCGCTCCTAGTGCAGGCAGTCGTACAGATGCCACTGCAGCCCTAATTGCAGGCCGTACTACAGCTCCTTCTGCAGCCAGCAGTAAGTCTTCTCAAGTTTCCTTCTGCAGTTCTCGCTACAGCTCCGACCAGAGCTACTACAACAGCTCGTCGTACGGCTTCTACAACAGTTCTCTCTACAACCCCAATGATTTTTAACCTGCACTAGCTTCTTGTGCAGCTCTGGCTACTGCCCTTCAACAAGGCCTACAGCGGCCACTCGCACAGCTATCCCTTCAACCTTTGTTTGCACATCCTACTGCTTACAACTCCGATTACAGTCGATGGTGCACATCCCAGAGCAGATCCAATCGCAGTTGTTATGTCGTTCCCGACTAGACCCACTCGTATATGTTTTATGTGTTTGTGTTCCGAAAGTGTCTTCCAACATTTCTGCACACAGTAGTACGGAGTTTAGTGCATATCCCGAGACAGCACGTGGTGTATTCCCCCGTGCAGCCATACACTTGCCACGACAGCTCATACTACAGCTTCCACGACATATCGTAATCTAGTTCCCGGACACATCTTCCATTCCAGCTTTTAGTACAACCGTTCGCGCAACTCCCACCACGACCGCCCCATATTACAGCTCTTGTGACAGGTCGTACCACAGCTCATACGACAGCTAGTAGCACAGCCCTCCCCAAACTCTTACTACACGGCTCACATCTGCTTTTGTTGCAGTGAGTATTGCAGTTCACCTGGTGTACCCGACCACATCCAGTTACACAGCGTCTTCTACACTTGGTACGGCGGCTTCGAATGCAACTCCTACTTATATTTTACGGCGAGGAGTAAACGGTTGAAGATGGTAAGGAGGAAGACGGGGGAGAGGATCGGAAGGAGGAACAAGAGGAAGAGGGAGAAGAGGAGGACTAGGGGGAAGCGGCTGGTGAGGATAAAGAAGAGAGGGGGGGGGGAATATCGAGGCGACGGAGGAGGAGGAGGAGGAGGAGGAGGAGGAGGAGGAGGATAAGGATGAGGAGGAGTAGGAGGGCGAAAGTTATGATGAGCATGGTGAGGGGGACGAGGAGAACGTCGACGATTGAGTACTCCAACTCTTCGTCGTCCTCCTGCGGCTCCTTTCCCTTCTCATCTACTCCTTCTCCTCCTCCTTTTCCTCCTCCTCCTCCTCCTCCTCCTCCTCCTCTTCCTCCTCCCTCTCCCTCTCCCTCATCACCCTCCTATTCAAAATCCCTTTTCGGGGGGAATCAAGCAAAAACAAAAGGAACACACACACACATAGATTCCCCTGACGTACCAAGCCCGTCTCAACGCGAGCCGATGATTCAAAGGAGCGAACCAAATAAAATAACCAGTTGCAAGGACACGCTGCTCCGCTGGACCTGCCAGGAGCCCACGACAGTGGCAACATTTGCGCACTAAGCACCCCCCTGGAGCTGCGAGGTGTCTCGGCTCGGTCTGCGTGCCCCCCCACCCCGCTGGCATTCCCAGACGCACGCGGAAGTGGCGACATACGCAGTTGGGATTCTTCCAGGGTGCCGCGAGGTCTCGGCTGGATGTGCGTACCCCACCCCGCTGGGCCTCCGAGGAGCTGTGTTAGTCCGCCTGCCCCCCAACAGACCACGATCTCCCCGACTCCGCCGGTCCTCCTCCCCGACTCCGCCGGACCTCGCGGGAGCCCACGAAAGTGTCGACAGTTGCGAATGTCTCAGCCATCCAGGAGCAGCGCAGGAGGAGGCAGCAGGAGGTGGTTTTGGGGAAGCAAGGAGAGGAGGAGAGGAGGTGGAGACGACAGTGGTCTACTCAAAGCAAGAATCCAACTCCAGAGGGTTGGGGAAAACAGCAAAAACGATCTAAGCAAACAAACAATACAAGCAATGTTTCGGACGGGCTTGCCCGCCGCTTGGATGATATTCGAACATAGGTTTGCTTTATTTGTTGTTTGTTTTGCCAAAAGGAGCTGCGACGTCCCAGATGGGTGTGCGTACTCCCCAACTCCGCCGTTCCTCCCACGAGACCAGGAAAGTGGCGACAGTTGCGCAGTGCGCGTCCACCCCCACCCAGCGAGGTCTCGGCCGGGTCCGCGTACTCCCCGACTCTTGGGGAGCCATGAGACGGGGGTCAATGCAAACGGGGGTCAGCCAGAGCGCCCGATCTTGCAGGATCGTGCAGGGCTAGGGTCGCACTGACCCGGGTTTGGGTGCAGGATCCCGCAGGTTTTTGCAGGATCTTTTTGCGTTGACCTGGGTTTGGGTGCAGGATCTTGCAGGAGCGTGCAGGATTATGCCAGGCCTGACTGACCCGGGTCTGGATTGTAAAAACGACGCGAAGATCGGGACAACATCGGATCGGGATAACTCGAAATCTCTGAGAATCGGCGGGTTTGGAGGAGTATTGGGCGCCGCGGCCGCTCCAGAGCGTTCTGGAACGCTCTGAGAGCGCTCCGGAACGCTCTGGAGCGATTTATCCCGATCCTAGCTCTGTTTTAGATTGACCGGGGTCAGCAGATCCCCGAATTCCGCCGTGCCTCCGCGGAGCCCACGAAGAGGGCGGCAGTTGCGCAGCTCGCGGCCCCTCAAAAGGAACAGCGCAGGAGGCGGCAGCAGGAGGGGGGGAGGAGGAGGATGGGGAGGAGGAGAGCAGGTGGAGCACACAGTTCTCTAGTCAAAACTAGAAACCAATACTGGAGGGTTGGGAGAACAGCGAGGCAGCATGAGCAAACAGTGAACAATGCAGGCAGTGCTTCGGAAGGATTCGTCTTCCGTTTTGAGCACCATGCAGCCTGGTTTTGCTTGTTCGTTTAGTTCTTGTGTTTTTCAATGTGTTGCTTGTCTTGCGTCTCCAGAGGTCGGCCACGCGCAGAGGGGAGTAGGGGGAGGGGGGGAAGGTTCTTAGAAGCACCCCTGCTTACTGGAAGGCGTGGGCCTGGTCTGTAGATGCAAGGCTGGCGCCTTCTAAGGAGCAGCCTCCTTCGAAAAGCCCCCCCCCTCTCTCCACCCCCCTTCTGCGCGCCGCCAATCTCTTTCTAGGCGCCACCAGCAGCAGGGACTACGTGCCTCCCCCGGAGCAGGGCGAGCTCAGGCCCTTTCCGCGCGCTGTTCCGCCCGCGCCGGCCGCGGCCACCGTCGCTCGTCGGTCGCCGGTCGGTCGTCGATCGTCGGTAGTCGCCGTCCGTTGTTCGTCGTTTGATCCTCTTCCTCCTGCTCCTCCTCCTGCTCCTCCTCCTGCCCCCCGTCCTCCCTCCCTCCTCCTCCTCCTCCTTTTTCTCCTCCTCCTTTTCCTCCTCCATCTCCTCCTTTCCCTCCTCCACCTTCTTTTCCTCCTCCTCCTCCCCCTCCTCCTCCTCCTCCTTCTCCTCCTCCTCCTCCCCCTTCTCCTCCTCCTCGGGTCGCCTACGGCCCCGAGGGAAACCGTGCACCTGAGTTATGACCTGGAGGCCAGATCTCTGACGATGTGGCTCTGTTCGGTCTTCTTGCGTTTTTTGTTGGTTTCGGCATCCGGGGGCCGCTGTCGGGCCCAGGGCGACCAACAACGGACCCGTGGAGAAGAGCTGCGTCCAGGGAGTTTGTCAGGAACCTTTGGGACAGCAGATTGGAACACACTGTGCAGGCAGATGTCTGGGCTCTTCGTCCCCCACCCTCGTTTTCCTCATGTGCGATCGAAGGACACAGAGTGCGGAAAGCATGAGCGTCCCTCTTCCCCCCCCCCCTCCGGCCGCCCCCCTCTTCCCCTTGGTCCCCGAACGGTCGGACGAGGGCGTTGGATACAGAGGAAAGGCCTCGCCTCGCACCTCCAGGTCCGCTAAACCTGCACTGCGGTGGTAGGGGCTCGAGGGGTCTGACACTGGTCGTGCTCTCTGACTCTTCCTGTTGTCCTGCCAGATCGTCGTGATAAGACGCGACGTCTCACGCTGGCATACGGCCTACCCAGACCCCCGACGTCATGTGTCTGTCATAGCGTCGATCCCTGGAGGTCTCGACCCATTCCCCGGCACTGGTTTCTCATCATTTGATGGTCCCGAGGTTTGGTAAGGGCCGACAGGGGCCGAACATAGCGAAAAACTGTCCATCGTGCTTTTTGTCCAAACCCGAGGGGGTCTGTCCATCAATTCAAATGTCCATCATCGTAATTTTCCTCCTCCCCTCGTCCCCCTGGCGCGCATTTGGCGCGTCGTCGCTGTCTCGTCGCGCGTTTGGCGCCTCCTGTCCACCAGCTAGCGCATTTGGCGTTGGTCGCGCGCTCGCCAATTGTTTTGCCCACGCGCGTTTTGCGTACGGCTGCTTCTTCGAGGGGGTATGGGCTCCATGGTGCAATTCAGACAAAAAACGATTATGGCGCCAACATCGTAGAGCGGAGTTCGTTCGGAAAACGATAGGATGGGCCCAGAGTGTCCTGGAGAATTTCGCTCCTGATTTAGAGGTCGATATCGTGCGGATTTTTTTTGTTAGGCCAGGAATGGAGACCACAAAAGACATCCACGCAAAACGCACTTTGTTTTTCACTCGCCGTTCTGGGGGTGCTGGGCTTTGCATCGACCGAAAGCCACGCAAGACTCCGCTGCAGCACGTCTTACAAGGTCGGCGCAGTGAGAGCGAGAGCCTGCTCGCCAGCAGGTCCGGAGGCGACAACATCCAGTACACCTGGAGGTCCGCCCTCTTCACCTGCGCCATGGCGGCGGGGGCTCTGTGGCGCGCCGCCCGCCGCGCCCTCCTCTCCCCCCCTCCACGTCATCAGGGGCAACGTTAGGGGGGGGGGGGCTCAGAGGGGGAGGAGGAGGAGGAGGAGGAGGAGGAGGAGGGAGGAGGAGGAGAGGGAGGAGGAGGAGGAGAGGAGAGGAGAGGAGGAGGAGGAGGAGGAGCAGGAGCAGGAGCAGGAGCAGGAGCAGGAGCAGGAGCAGGAGCAGGAGCAGGAGCAGGAGCAGGCGCAGGAGCAGGAGGAGCAGGAGCAGGAGGAGGAGGAGGAGGAGGAGGAGGAGGAGGAGGAGGAGGTCCGTAGCCATTTTGGCTCAAGGTCCGTAGCATGGGCTCGGGGACCTTGACATTTGGCGTGGACATCTTACGGCCCCAACCGCTCCCCGCTGCGTCTGCTACCGCACCGCCGCCCGCGGTCACAGACCCGTTTCTTCACGCATTGGGCCACTGTGCCTCATGGATCGTTGGGCTTGTCCTCGTGCGCGCAAGTGCGGGCATCGCGACAGTTATGCTTGGCACACCACTCGTCGCATGTGCGGCGCTGCTGCGCCCAAGCGTCCAGGCATCGGTGTCACTCCGCCTCCTCGTGGTCAGTGGGGCCGCGGGCCCCCGAGCGTCGAGCGCCATGCAGGGCCCGCCAATCCGAGCGAGGAAGAGATCCAGGTGTGCGCAGGTATGTCTCCCGACTCATTCGGACAGATCAGTGCGCACTGGCATCCTCGTGTGTTGGGTCGTGTCCGTGCTGCTCGCGACGTGTTGCGCGGTGAACAACAGGCCGCCGCCAAGGCGGCCCGCATCGAGCAAGATGTCACCCAGAGCCAGCTGCAGCGTGCTCAGAGCACGCACGCGCGCGCGTTGGCCACCTTTTTTTTCTGAGGGTCTCAAGGCTCTGCACAGAGCCAAAGAGGAACTCGCCGCAGCCACCAAAGCGGCTCAGGAGGCTGCAGCGCTCGCAGGCATATCAGTCTACGGTTCCCACCCCTGCTGAAATTCATTCTCAGGCATGGACCAGGTCCGTGCTGGTCGCGGCTGTGGCGGGCAACGCTGAAAGTCAGCAGCAGTTTGACCAGCTCAAGGCGCAGATCGAGCACATGGCCGTGCAGCTCGGCTACAGCGCTGCTGCTGCTGCTGCCCCCGCTCCCGTCGCTGCCCCGCCTCCAGCAACAAATCAGCAGCAGCAACCGCAGCCTACCCCGGTCGCACCCGCCGTGGAGCAGCCCGCGCCGCTGGACATGGAGTTCGACAACCTCATGGGCGACAACCGCTTCTTCCAGGGCCTCGAGGCTGCCCACGGGGTCACGCGCGCGACGCCGTCGACCTCCTTCAGGCCGCCAAGGCGCACCCCTCCAAGAAGGCTCGCTGTCCTGACGGCGCTGCCCAACCTGGGCCAGGCGCCGAGGCTGCGGGCCCGTCTGGCGGGCGACCACTCCACCCTCATCACTTCCAATGTGTCTGGGCTTGCGGGTATGGATGAGCTTCTCGCTGACCCCGTTGTTCGTTTTGCCCAGGCCGTCTGCGTTCAAGAACCTTATCAGTTAGTCACGGTGCATCTTGAGCACAAGCTGCGCCGCGTGGGGTGGCACGCGCGGCTTTCGCCCGCCATCGTTTCCTCCCCGGGCAAGGACACCGCAGGAGGCATTGGCCCCCCTCACCGCAGGGCACGGCGCATGCGAGGTTGACACCGCCCCCGCCGACCTCGCCCCCGGTCGTCTTTCAGCGGTTCATTGTGGGGGCCTCTGCCGTGGAGGTGTCCTTTGGATTGGTGCCCGTCTATATCACAGCACTGGCTGGGCTCAAGCGAACTAGTTCTTCTTGTGACAGATCTGTGAAGTCATCAAGTCATGTTGGATTCCGTTTGTCATCCAAAGGGGCGGGCATTTCCCCCCGGACATATTCGGGCCAGCCTCTGGGTCGAGAGCATTGATGCAGTCATTTGCGCTCCCTCCATTCCAGCATGTTCAGCAGAGAACGGTTGTCGCACGAGCGATTACCTTGGCATCCATGGCGGCTTGCAGTACGGGCGCACTATCGCGTTCGCGAGCGGCGTCGCCACCGAGCCGCACAAGCTAGTCCGCCTCACCCTCGCCGCCGACGCAGGACAGGCCAGGGTCAGGCACGTTCGCGTGTCTCGCCGCTATCCTCATCTTCGGCCAGCAGGTTGCGACCGCAAAGATTTGAAGCTGGCATGGCGCGCAGTCGTGCAAGCGATCGCCGAGCAGCAGGTGAACGCGCAATGGCAGTATTTCATTTCGCTGGCCGAGCAGCACTTTCTGGACATGTGCCAGTTCCAGAGCGAAGATGCCGACCAGTACGCAGGTCGTGCAGAGGAGCTTCGAGTCGAACATGTTCGGCCTCGTGCACCTCAGCGGTTTCCTTTCCCTCGCCTGAGCCCGCTCGCCGTCTGGCGGCGGCGCGTTGGCCGCGCATTTCACGGCATTTCCTTTTGGCATTCTAGCGTGCAGCGCAGTCGTGCCCTGGGTTGCTACCGGCGCCTGTGGCGAGAAGTCAAGCGTTCCGTTTTTGCTGCTGCTTCGCCGATGACGGAGCCAGGCCCCTCGCTCCGCAGGGGCCCCCTGATTTGCCCCGCGGTTTCGCCTCAGTGCTGCCCACGTCTGCCCGTGACAGAGCCTGTAGAGAGCACGAGAAGGCTGCCAAAGTCCAGATTGCCTCTTGGCGTCAGCGGGTCAAGGGTCACTCCAGCGACGGTGCCGCTGCCCTCTGTGCCGGCACTCGGGCTCGCACCCCCTGGCGCGCCACGTCCAGAATCTGCGCCTCCGGCGAGCAGCTCTCGCCCCCCGCCGACCCTCAGCAGGAGATGAATCTTCTGGCTGACGAGCGATGCAGATGGTGGAGAGCAGGCGTAGCTCACGATGACACTGCATGGCCACGCGACTTTGGCCTACTCTTTTCAGAGCCCACAGCCGGGGAGATGCGCGTGGTTCTCCGCCCTTTTCCCGCGTCGCTCGGGTTGCGGGTTCGACGGCGACCCCCCGGGCAGATCGAGCATCTCTCCGACGAGGCAATTGCAGTGCTGATCCAGCTGGTCATGCGCACCGAATCTCAGTGCCAGTGGTCGATCGTCCACGCCATTGTTGTTGGGTTTTCGTCTTGGGCACACTGGTGGGCATCGGCCCACCAGTCTGCTGCGCGGTCTTGCTCGCGTGCAATGGCTGCTCAGACGGCCCCCCGCGCGCGCTTGGCAGGAGAGCAACTTCAGATCTTTCTGGTGGGCCACGGCTGGGCGCGGCTCCGATCGACTCGTCTGGGCCCAGTCGGCCATGGCCGAGCGGCGTCGCGGCCGCGGCTTCGCCAGCGCCTTCGCGCTCCTAGAGTTGGACAAAGCTTTCGAGCTCAAGCTGCTGATTCAGTTACACCGTGCGCCGCGCATCCTCGACTTGGATGGCCGCTCGACTCAGGTCATCCACTCGCCTCCGCCAGTGCTGCCGGGGCGTCACTTTGCCACCCTCATGCTGCAGATAGTCCTGCTGCAGCCGCTCAGCGATATCCTCGCCCAGAACCGAGAGCGACGTACCGGGGGGGGAGGCAGTCTTATAGGGCCGCCCCCTACGCTCCTGTGCCCGCCGGCCCAGCCGCGCCGTGCATCAATGCGTGCTGGATTGGCCGTGATTGGATCCAGTCATGGGCAGATGGATATTGGGCCGATGAGCCCGTTATAGGGAGATCGGCTGTAGAGCCAGGCGGCCGCGCGAGCGATGGCGGCGGCCCCGGGCAGGCCACGGATTGCAGCTACGACGCGACGGTCGACTGCGAGGACAAGAATGATACTGGAGACACTCAAGGGTACTACGTACATGTATCTCGTCATCAGCTGGTCACTGGCCGCACCAAAACATGGCATTGGTTTAGTTTGAAAGACTACAGCGACAAGTTCAAACGCGACGCTGGGATGCCGAGCGCCTTGCCAGAGTCTCCGCCGCCGCCTACGCCGAAGGCGAGGCCGCGCGAGAATGGCCAGGGCAAGAGTGAGCCAAGTAGCTTGAGGTCAAGCAGAAGAGGAAATAGACATGAAACGTATTCCAGATATCAGCACCAGTGGAACTGGAGCAACAGACACGTGGCATGATTCTCGTGAATGGAGGAGTCATTGGCAGAGGTGGCGCAGTAGAAGAAGAACCAGTACGACATGGTCGATGCTGGTCCTAACTACATCATGGAGCGGGCGCACCAGGTGTGCACGGGCAGTGTGGCCTCAGCTGGAAAATATTTGCTCCGGCGGGGAACGTCGGGTCAGTTCGGCCTTCCGCCCCCTGGCAACCACCGTTGAGCGGTAAAATGCTTTTGTGGTTGGCTCTGGTGGCTGCGCACATGTGCAGGCCAGGTGGGTTGGGGGTCGGGGCGGCTCTACGGACCCCGCCGCGGGGGGAGTCAACGCACCCCCTTCCGCACCGCCATCCTCTTGCCCTTCCTGCTCCGTTGCCTTGCGTGCGCTGTCCGATTATGATTGCTTCTCTCCCGCAGCTACACTTTGGTTCTAGGTAAGCGGAAAAGGAGCGCGCCTGCGGCGCGCGCGTGCGTCGGCCGGCGGGCTAGCTCCCTTCAGCGTTATCGGTGTTATCCTAGTGCAAGCTTGACGGCATTACCCCTTCTTCCCCATGCCACCGGCGGAGCCCACTGACCATGAGACATCAACAGAACATCTTGCAAGGATTATGAATATCCAGGCAAAAGACTTGTCCTCCTGCTCTCCTCGCTGCCCTCCCCGTCATCCGCGCTGTCATTCTCGTCTTCCGCCGCCTCGTCGTCGCCATCCTTCTTCTCTTCTTTCCCTCCTTATCTAGGAGGGGAAAAAACAGACATACACAAGTAATCGTCGACCTCCAGGAAAATGCGGGAACACGGGCTTCCACTCTGAGAGGGTCTTGGACGTCAGGGAAGGGGGAAAGGGGGAGTGGGACAGCCTGTCATCTAACACGCTTCTGGATATCTTTTGCGAGCTCCGTGGGGCTTCGAGCAGGCCTCGCAGGTTGTTTCTGGGTTTCCTGGGGCTTCTTGGCGGCCGCTTGGGAGCGCATTGGGGCCTCTTGCGGGGCTCTTGGGGCCTTTTCGGGGAGCTTCTTGGCGGACTCTAGGGCCATCTTTATATTTAGCCTGTGGGCCCCTTCCCCTTTCCGGCCCTTTTTATTTAGCCTGTGGGCCTGCTGGCCGTCAAAAGGGGGTATGGTGGGCCGACTTGGGGCCCCCAGGGCCCTCTTGGAGAGTTCTCTTGGCAGCATTTATGTCATATATTTGGGCTATCTGGGGGGGGGGTTCTTGGGCCGTCCTGGTTTGTGGACAGCTCGAAAGGACCAGCAAAATCGAATATTCGAACAACATGGAACACTGTTGATTTGTGCCTCTCGAAACCCTCTTGCGGGTGCTCTCGGAGCTTTCTTGAGACGTCTTGGGCGCCTCCCGGGCCGTCTTCAGGCCCGCTTGGGACTTTGGGTGCGATCTTGGGGTGGGTCGTGGGTCGGGGTCCTCTTGGACCGCGTCGTGCACTTCCTGGGGCCTGATTGGGCCAGTCTGGAGGCGTCAGGGGGTGGATTTGGAGGTTCGGAGAGCACCGGAAGTACGCTGACGAGCTCGTAGCCCCAGTCCCCTCCTCCAGGCCCCCTCGCTTGGTATACGAGCTCGTACTTTCTCCCCCCCCCCAGGTCCTCCCTAGAATTGGAGCTGGGGCTCCAGGGGAGGGGGAAGTGGGGGGGGAGCCAGTCTTAGGTCGGGCCATGCCCCCCCCCCCCCCCTGCAGAGGGGGTTTTTGGACGAAACATGAAATAGATATGATGTTCAAAATATACAAAAAAACAGTAAAGATAATCGTTCCTTTACTTCAACGACTATTTTTGGATATTCCTCCTGTAGAGGGGCAGACCCGACCTCATTCCAGCCATCTCACACGCCTTCCCGCCCCCGGCAGGCCGGGGGTCAGCGGACGAGTGCGGTCGCGCTCTGGTCACACCAGTAGGCAGTTGGGGGGGGGGCTCGAGTGTCCTGGTCTCATCAGGAGCCTCTCGGGGGGCATATCGGAGACATGCTCGGAGCGCCCAGGGGCCTCTTCCGAGCGCGTCGGGGCATCTTGGTATCTTGGGGGCCCATGGGGGGCCTCGCGATGACTCTCCCGCGAAATCTGGGGCCATCTCTGGAGGGAAGGTTTAAACCATTTCGAGTTCCCCCTCTTGGGTGCCTTCTGGGCGGCCACTTTGGGCGGTCTTGGAGCGATCTCGGGGGCCTCCTTGGCCGACTTGGAGCGTTTGGAGCCCGAACAGACGAAAAGGCGAACATCCTCCAAAAACCCTACGAAGTAGCATCCACGATCTCGCCCGCCCGCGGTCCTCTTGGAGCCCTCTTGGGACTGGGGGCCTGCTTGGCCGTAGGAGGGACCTGTCGTGCATCTTCGGGCGGTGGCCCTGGGCAGGCTCTGGGGCGCTTTGACCACACTGTGGACCCGCTGTGGCCCGCTGTGGCGGGCTCTGGCCTCGGGGCGTCTCGAGACGGGCGCGGCCATTTCCCCAGAGCTGCTCGAGCGGCCCCAGAGAGGGCGGGAACTGGGGCTCGGGGCCGCTTGGAGAGTGCGGGGGTCTGCAGTCCTGGATGCAGGGTGCAGAAGGCTCGAGGGGGCCCGATGGGACTCCCCACTCGGTGCCTGCGTAGCGGTGGCCACTGGCAGGACTCAGCGCGTACAGAGTTCATTCTGCGCATGTCGTATGGACTCGTGCACACATTGACGCATGTCGTAGGGACTCGTGCATGCAGTGCATTCTGTGCACGTCTCGCAACACCAGCTGGCGGCTCTGCGGTTGAGCGAGAGATTGTACATAGGTTTAAGTCGGGCACGTCCCTCTACAGGAGGAGTATTCACACATAGCCAAAAAACAGTATGGGGACGATTTTTGAAGTTCTTTCGGGTATATCCGGTTTATTTAATCGCTTCGCTCATGCCGCCGGCCCTGGAGCCCTCTTTAGGGCCTCTTGGGGGCCTCTTGGGGACCTCTTGGGAGTCTCTTGGGGCTCCTTGGCGGCGTTTTGGAGGCCCCCAGGGCCTCTTGGGGGGCTCTTGGGGGTAGTCGATTGCGGCTCCCCCCTCGGAGGCCACGATCCTCGTGAGGGGTGTCGAAAAATACCCTCCCCTGGAGTGGTCTGGTGGCTTCTCCCGGGCTTCTCTCGGGACCTTGCCGGGGTACTTTTCGTCCGGGGGCCCCCAGGGGCCGCTCCGCGCGCGCGAACTAGAAATATTGCTAACAAGTTACCGGAGATCTTAGCACGCCTCTGGCCCGTTGGGCCGGCGAATTTTGGGTATTTTGAATTGTTCCTCCAAAATCCCCCTGTAGGGGGACAGGCCCGACATAATATAGATGGGAAGACTGCGTCTTTTACATAGACGGTGCAGGGACCACTGTGGGCCCGTCCCCTTGGTGCCGATTTCGCGAGGAGGTCCCAAACGAGGGCGCCGGTTCGGGATTCTGCGCCAGATTTCTCCCGGCGCCGTCAGACTCACTGGATTCTCTGGGAATGTTACAGGAAGCGCAGTTGTTAGCCTCATTTCCTCGCGCGCCGGGGGTCAGGATGACGTGAGTTCCATGGGAGTTGCCTCATATGAGATGTCTTCTGACAGTTGTGCATATCGGCGGCGGAATCCGAGCCCTGCCATCGCCGATCCACAATTCAGGCAATTCGATGGGCGGCGGGGGTACAGTGGGGACGCGCATCAAGAAACCGAATGCAGGTCGTCAGGGTACCCTGGGTTTCTTCGCTCGGCGCGCTGCGCGGTGACTTCTGCGGCCGTTGAAAGTTGCTGCTCCCTCCCCCGCGTGCAGCTCGCGCTCGTGGGTGTTCAGGGCTGGGTCTCTTGCGAGGGTTCCTTGCGCGTCTTTCGCCTTTTGGCGTGCACCGGTCGAGACGAGCCGGCCCCGACGACGACGGCGACGACGACGACGACGATGACGATGCCGAGTCCGGGGTCAGGTACTATGACTACCTCATGCGGAGGAAGGAGTCCGAGCAGCGGGCCATCACGAAGCAGGAGACCCGCACGCGGCGCCCCCCGCGCCTGGTCGCCGAGAGGTGGGGGGGTGCTCCTCCTCTTCTTCTCCTCCTGTTCCTGCTCCTCCATCCTCCTCCTCCTCCTCCTCCTCCTCCTCCTCCTCCTGCTCCTCCTCCTGCTCCTGCTCCTGCTCCTCCTCCTCCTCCTCCTCCTCCTCCTCCTCCTCCTCCTCATATGCGCGATACGCCGCTGCCCCCCAAGGGGAAGGCGAGGGGATCCGGTGGTTCAAGGATTCCGAGGACCACGTGATTCACGTACCGTTACCACAGGAGGAGGAGGAGGAGGAGGAGGAGGAGGAGGAGGAGGTGGAGGAGGAGAAGGAGGAGGAGGAGGAGGAGGAGGCGGAGGCGGAGGAGGAGGACGAGGAGGAGGAGGAGGAGGAGGACCACATGATTCTTGGGCCTCCCACGAGGCGCTCCGTCGCCGCCGCTGGACTCGCCCTGAAGTTCTGGTCAGAATGCACCACGGGAGAGGTCCGGGGAGCAGCGGCGTGGGTACTCTTTCGATTTCCCCGAAGGTGGGGTCCTCGGGGTTGGGTTCCTGATGATAGGAAGGGGTCCACGGGTGGATTTTCACTGCTCGAGGCACTGCGTCTCCAGGACAGCGTCTCTCAAGGCCACGTCTTTGGACCACCGAGGGGTGAGCCCAGACATGCTCGCGCCGCGCAGGGTTGCGGCCGCTTCCGCCCCCCGGGGGGCCCCGCCGGGCCCCGGGGCCGTCTGACCACGACTCGGCACGGCAGGCGGGCCCTGGGTGGCATCCTAAACGATCGGGGAGGAGGATGACGATGGGCATTTTGAGGAGGACGAGGAGGAGGAGGATGAGAATGAAGAGGAAGATTGGGGGACGAAGACGAGAGAAAGTAGGAGGACGAGGCGGATGACGAGGACAAGGATGAGGGAGAGGAGGAGAGCGAGGAGGATGACAAGGAGGAGGACGAGGAGAGGAGGATTTTGAGGAGGGCGGGTGGGGGGACGTCAACTGACCACCTCGCCGATCCTGGCTGGGCCAGTCCAGGGCCCAGGGCGGGCCAGGATCGGCGGGGTGGGCAGTTGCCGCTGCCCCAGGGGAGGAGGGTGGAGGAGAGCCGGGGGCGGCCTGACCGACCCCCATCAAATCGTGACCGTCCGTGACGTCCCCCTCGCCTCTCCCACGGACGTATGTAGGCGGCCAGCTGGAGCTTGGAAGGCGCGGATGACGTCACGGCAGGTGCTGGCCACGGTGGGGGTCGGTTGGGCCGCGCCCGAAAAGGTCGAGACTTCTGGGACCCCTCATGGCACAAGTCAGGACATCGCATGTTGGGAGAAGGGCAAGCAGGAGCAAGAGGGCGAAGATGAGGGAGGCAGATGAGACAAGTCAGGAGGAGGAGGAGGAGGAGGAGGAGGAGGAGGAGGAGGAGGAGAAGGACCTGAGGACTTTGTGGGCCTCGGAAACGACAGGGCCGTTTTTTCACCGTTTCCGAAAAATGTCCTTTGAAAATGGAAACGGTAAAAAACGGCGACTGGAAACGGCAGAAAAACGGCTCCAGGATTGGAACCGGAGCCGGAACCGGTCACAAAACGGCGACGGAACCGGTCAAAAGACGGCGTCGGAACCAGCAACAAAAACGGCAAAACGCAACCAGTAAAAAAACGGCCTTGTCGCTTCCAGGGCCCATGAAGCCTGAGGAGGAGGAGGAGGAGGAGGAGGAGGAGGAGGAGGAGGAGGAGGAGCAGGAAGAGGAGGAGGAGGAGGGAGGCAGAGGAGGAGGAGAAGGAGGAGGAGGAGAAGAAGGATGATTAGAAGTAGGAGTATGAGGAAGGATGAGGAGGTTGGAGGAGGCGCAGTAGGAGGCGGGAGTAGGAGGGGAGGAGGTGGAGGAGGAGGAGGAATGGAAAGTGAGGGGAAGTAGGAGTAGGAGTAGGAGGAGGAGGAGGAGGAGGAGGAGGACGGGGGGAGGAGGAGGCGCGAGGAGGAGGAGAGGAGGAGGAGGAGGAGGAGGAGGAGGAGAGGAGGGAGGAGGGGGAAAGAGAGGGGGAGGAGGAGAAGGAGTTAGGGGGGGGGGAGGAGGAAAACAGGAGGATGATGCTGAGGAGGAGGAGGAGGAGGCGCGGGAGGAGGAGGAGGAAGGAGGAGAAGAGGAGGAGAAGTAGGGAGGAGGAGCAGGAGGAGGAGGAGAGCGAGCAGGAGGAGGAGGAGGAGGAGAGGAGGAGGAGGAGAGGAAGAGGAGCAGGAGAAGAGTGGGAGGACGAGGAGGAGGAGGAGAGGAGGAGGAGGATGAGGAGGAGGAGTAGGAGGTAGGGGGGAAAGAGAGGGGGAGGAGGAGAGAAGGGGAGGGGGGGGGAGGAGGAAAAAGAAGCAGGGGAGGAGGAGGAGGAGGAGGGGAGGAGGAGGAGGAGGCGAAGGAGGGGGAGAGGAGGAGACAGGAGGAGGAGGAGGATGAGGAGAGCAGGAGAAGCAGGAGGAGGAGCAGGAGGAGAGGAAGAGGAGCAGGAGGAGGAGGAGGAGGCGGAGCAGGAGGAGGAGGAGGAAGAGCAGGAGGAAGAGGAGGAGGAGGACGAGGAGGAGGAGGAGGAGGAGGAGGAGGAGGAGGAGTTGGAGCAGAAGAGGAGGAGATGGAGGTGGAGGATGAGGAAAGGGAGATTCGACATGAGCACGCCGATCGCAGTCATGCTTCAGCTGTGAGGCGTACGCGGGACCTTGGCTCCGCACAATCAAAAGAGAGAAAGAAGCACGCGCCTGGGAGCATTCGACTGATCACCCTCCCTCCTCATACTTGACCTCCCTCCCCCAAATTGCCACGGAGAAGGACGAAGAAGGCAAGGCATGGCACAATGTTGCGACAACTTGGGGCGGAGGTTGGTGCGGTGCGTCGTCCTTCCCTGTGCGTCGCTGCCGATCTTGGCTTCCAGCGCTGCCTCTACCACTGCACCATGTCGAGTCGCCCCCAAAACATTTACCCGTGTACGGAGGGGGGGCTGTTCCGGCAGCTGCCGACGGCTGGGCGAGCAGCAGCAGGGGAGGAGAATGGGGGGGAGGAGGAGGAGGAGGAGGAGGAGGAGGAGGAGGAGGAGGAGGAGGGTTGTTGGTTTTTGAATAGCATATTTTGAATATAAGAGCGTTCTCTTAAATCAGAAAACTTGTTTTTATGCTGGAAAACAAGTTTTGCGAATCCAGCAAGAACAGGGGTCGCAGCTCGTTGCCAGGGCAGTCAAGCGGACGCCAGGGTCACGCGCGGGACCCCGAACTCCAGCGTCGTAGGCACCCCGTTCACCCCGCCCGTGCCCGCTCACGTCGCTGCGCCCTTCCCGCTTCTCCCCCCCCCTTCCTCCCCCTCCCCTCCTCCCTCCCTCCTGCCTTCCTCCTTCCTCCTCCTCCTCCTCCTCCTCCTCCTCCTCATCCCTCCTCCTCCTCCTCCTCCTCCTCCTCCTCCTCCTCCTCCACAGTCTCTGGCCAGGGCCAGGGATGAGGCGAGGACCCCCTGGGCACCCGCGGGCGGCCCGGAACCGCGGCCGGCGCGCACAGCGAGGAGGCGCGGCGAGGACAGGAGGTTGCGGGCCGTTCTCGGCGCCCGGGGGCCCTCGCGGGCCCCCGGGAATGGGGGGCCCGACCGTGCCTCAGGATGAGGGCCCGGTCCTTGGGAGATGTCCATGGGAGGCCTCCAAGAGAGCTCACAGAGGGCCCAAGAAGGCCCCAAGACGGCCCAAGAGGGCTCCAAGACGGTCCAAGAGGGCCCCAAAAAGGCTCCAGAGGCGCCCAAGATCGCCCAAGAGGGCCCCAAGACGGCCCCAAGAGGGGCCCAAGAGGGGGAACACGAACAACCAAGTCGAGCATTCCACCCCAAGAGGCCCTCAGGAGGCCCCAAGAGGGCCCCAAGAGAGCTCAGGAGGACCCTTGAAGGCCCCACGAGGTCCCCAAGAGGCCCCAAAAAAGGCGCCCACGCTGTGGATCGGGGGCGGAGAAGAGGGGGGGGATAACTAGGGGTGGGTGGATATCATGGCGGGGGCCAGGATGTTTCCGCAGATTTCATGGCGCCTCTTCTCATTTCGATAATTACGTCCCCAGTCCCCCCGCCGGGCCGCGCACATGCCGCCGGTCATGATTTGCCCCCCCCCCCCCCCCCCCCCCCTCGTTGACGCCCCCCTCTTTGCCGCCCCCGACTGTGGAACAGAAATGACGACGACATATGTCTCGGCCCCTCCATCGCCTCGGGAGAGTGTGTTTTACAGTAGGAACCCGTGCCAAGAAACACCCTGCTTGCCTCCAGGGTGCCCTGCGTTTGTTGGGTTTCGATGTTTTTGCGATTCAAAGCGGGACGTTCCCACACCAAGCATCAATGGACGTCCTGTGGTCTCAGGGTTGGGTTTCTTGTGGAAGATTTCTTGTGGTCGAGTTCGTACTGTACAGCTGTAGATCATAACGCCTCCCGCACCGCTGCAGTTCGCGCATGCGTCACAGTCTCGCAGCAAGGTGCGGTCGCGGCGCCCGCGTTTCCTCGCAGGCCACGGTGGCGCTCTGTTGTGCTCGAAGGCTATTGCCCGTGCTCGTAGATATGGCGCTGCGCTCGCAAGCTATTGTTGCACTTGCACTGTCGGGCATGTTTTGAGAGCGTTCTTTTTTCCTCTGGCGGGTAACGCTTGCTACCCGGACCCAACCGCCCCCGGGTAACGCTAACGATTGTACGTTGTTTTGAGGGTGGAGGGCGGATCCCCCTCCTCTCAGCAGGTATGGCGCTATGCTCACAGGCATGGCGTGGCGCTGAAAGCCATGTGTGGTGCTCACAAACGTGTTGTGGCGTTCGCAGGTTCCCCACCTGTTGCGGCGCCGAGTTCACAGGCATGGCGTGGTGCTAGAAGCTAGAAGGTATGTTTCGGTATTCACCTGCCTGCTGTGGCGCCTGTAGGCTATTGCAATGCGCGGACTAGTGTGGTTTACGTCTGCATGATTGTGCTCTCCCTTGCTCTTCCTACTGGTGGAACTCCTGGAAGCAATGCGGCCAGGGGATCTCACAGACATGTGTGGGTGGAGCAACTGTTATGCC